TGCAAGCACATTTTGTTACGTTCAAGTGAAAATCTCATCATATTTCTAGGTCTACATTCTTGACTCCCAGGTTCTCAAGGCATGGTGCTTGCCTAACTTAGTTGTCCACTGGGGTGAAAGAAAAGCGATTTATATCCGGAGAGCAGAGGCAAGGGTCCCGCCCACGCGCCCAAACGCTAGACGACCAAGCCTCCAGCAATGAAGCAATCTCACACAAAAAAAATAAGCGACGTGGGGACCACCCTTTCGGGCCAGGCTTCATCAATAAAGACACACCCATGATAGAGTACGAGCTGTCAACAATAGCCTCCATGTGACCGGAAACCACCATAAGAAAAGTCGGGATTCTCGTCTGTGTGACCCCCAATACAGTCGGCGGTCCATTGTGGCGGTACCCTGTACAGCGGCCCTGCCCTGAATAATGGCACCAAAACCTCTTGTCACTACCTACCGTTATTGAGGACCGCCGACTGTACCAGCCTCCTTCCGCCAGACGCAGGGAAGCAAAGTAGCGAATGGAGAGAGGGAGAGGGCGAGGGGGATTGTTTGCGAAATGTGTGCGCGACGTGGTCTCCACAAAAGAGTGGAAATTTCGTCCAGGTCACTTTTTACAAATTTACATTATTCACAGAATGATGACGACTAGCCGTTCGAAATATCAGGCAGTCGAGAGAGAGGGTGTTGTAGTCTTTGCCGTGGGTGCGAGAAAAAAATGGCGGAGTACTGGGCTTGTTTCAGTGGTCTACGCAACTTTTTACGAGTAAGCAAACGACAAACTCCCGTACATAATTGGCTAAGTTGGGCATGGGATAATATTTGGATTGGAGGTAGGGTCTGCGTGCCCCCTGCCTGGTCATTTTTGTAGTATCCTTCCAAACAATCTTTGCGTGGGCAGTCCGCATGTTTCGGGCCTACGTTTGCCCATATGCTCAATTTTTCCGGTGATGCCCGGCGGTGCAAACACAAGAAACCTCTACGTAGGAAAACATTTAATTGCGAGCGACCATTCGAAAGAGAGCGTCCGCTTGAAGCGGCAGCTCAAAAGCAACCTCCAGCCTCAAGTCCGTAGTCGAAGGTTGAAAGAGAGCGGAACCGAACACCCTGGAAAACGTTGGTCAATCCAGGAAGGGCGTGCCAGTACATTTTGGCCGCTTCCGTGACGAAGGCGTCGGGGACAATCTGCAGGCGGGGAGGGAGATTGTGTCACCATCCTGATACTTCTACCATCCGGATTGTCCTGCCATCAACATTGTTCTACCATTAACGTTCATAGTCTGGAATTAGTCCATCGTCGGAATTGGGCTATCATCCCGAGTACATCCCAATTTGGCTATCGTACCGATCGGTCTTTCCTTTACCATCCCGAATAACAGCATCCCCGCTTTTGTGAATCATCCCGATTGTTTCATATCTCCATTGGCTACCATCCCCCTTGTTGTTCTATCATCCCGATTTGTCCATTCTCCTGGTTATTCCATCGTCCACCATCTCGACTGGTCGACCATCCCGATTGGTCAAACATGCCTGTTGATCGATCATCTACCGTCCCCACTGTTCTATCATACCGATCGGTCTATTCTCCCGATTGGTGCATCATCCTGATGTGATCGGTTCAGCATCCACCATCCATCTCAGTTGGTCCATTTTACCCATTGATCCACCCTGCCGATTGGCCGATCATCCCTAAATAGTCCACCATCTCGATTGGTATCTCATCCCCATGGGTCGATGGTCCAACATCTCGACACCTCGACTGCCCAATCATATCGCGATTGGTCCATTCTCCTGACTGTTTCATCATCCCGATGGCTCCATCATCCCGATAGGTCCAGTCTTTTTGGTCAACCATCCCGACTGTCTCAACATCCCGATTGGTCGATCATTACGTTCGGTCCATTAGACTACCCTATCTCCTTGGTTATCCATGTATCAAGACAGTCCCCCTGGTGAGCCCCATGTGTGTACCCCATCCAAGTTGTTCACACGTTCGCCGAGGCCATTCACCCGCACACCTCATGTGGTCGTACCCTATCGTTGGATAGCCATGGCCAGCGAAGGTGCACATACTACCGCGCACATCCCATCAGACCACCCAAATTCCTCCCTTTATCTTCATGAATGTTTCCCGCAAGTCGTGCATGCGAATGTTGACGCGTCGCGCATGTACTTGGCGTACTTGGTCAGCAGATGTTCACTACAATATTTTATGTCGGGTGTTATTTGTTGCATGAGTACCCGGGGATACCCATAGAAACCAAGATGATTCTCCATGGTTACCCATGGCGATTTTCCATGGTTCGCCATGGAGATCTCCGTGTTACCCATGGTCTCCATGGTGTTCTCCACGGTTAGCCATGGCCTCCATGATGTTCTCCATGACTAACGATGAAGATCTCCGTGGTCTCCATGGTGTTCTCCACGGTTAACCATGGTCTCCATGACTTCCTCCATGGTTGGCCATGGTTAGCCGTGATTAGACACGCACATGACGAGCGAATTTACGGTAGCATCGAAAAGATAATACGAAAATTACTGTCATAGATCGATCCAAAGGTAGCGATGTAGCGACAACAATGCTCAAACCTTCGTACGCGCCAGGCGGGAGGGTGCCGCTAAGGTAAGCCGTGGCAGACCGGGCACCGCGTGTCGCGAAGGCATGCTATCAAAATCTATCTGTGGAGGTAATTGCACCCACATGTACAACGTCAACGACAACGACAACTCCGGGAGGTGCAACGCCTGGTGAACTTCCAGCGTGCTGTCATCATCTTCTCGCTGAAAGCGCCGCCTAGCATGCCCTCCCTGAAGTAGTCTCCCTCGACCCCACCCTCTGCATCATTCACCCCCCCCCCCCCCCCCCCCCCCCCCCCCCCCCCCCCCCCCCCCCC